TTCCAGTCTTGGGTGATTGACTGACTGTGTGGAGTTTGTACATTCTCGCTGTGTCTGTGTGGGTTTCCTCCGAGTGCTCCGGTTTCCTCTCTCAGTTCAAAGATGTGCAGGTTAGGTGGATTGGCCATGCTAAACTGCCTGCAGTGTTCAGGGATGTGTAGATTAGGTGGGTTATAGGGGGATGGGACTGGGTGGGATGCTCTGAGGGTCGGTGTGGACTTGTTGGGCCGAAGGGCCTGTTTCCACACTGTAGGGATTCTGTGATTCTAATAGGTTGATTAAAAATACATAAACCTGTATCATTAACCACTGCTTACAAGAGGTGCTTGCACTCTTGCACCTAGCTGGATATTAATCTCTGCAACTGAGCTTTGAAAAAGAAAGATGACCCAGGAATGGGCTTGCACAACTATCTGTCTCTGGCTGGGACTAGCTTACATAGGCCAGAAGTTGTGGCTCTATTTTGGTGTTCAACATGGATGATGTCCCTTTCCAGTTGGGCTTACTGAGTTATTATAGGCCACTTCCCACTACCACTGGCATTTTCTAGATGCTACCAGACCTGTTGAGTTTCTCCAGCACATTCTATTATAATTGGAGGTACACAATATACATGGAGTTATATTAGAGACAGCTGAAAGGTTGAGATGTGAGCATATTAGGTCTTTGATTTGCTTTTCCTCCTTCATTCATTTTTGCTAATTGTCTCCTGGCTTCAAACATCATGCACTGGTGAAGAAAAAATCAGAGATAATGTTTCGGGCCCAGTGACCCTTCCTCTGTTCTGAATGTTAACTCTGAATTTTTCTTCACAGATGCTGTCAGACCTGCTGAGTTTTTCCAGCAACTTCTGTTTTTGTTCCCGATTTATAGCATCCGCAGTTCTTTCGGTTTTTATCATGCACTAGTGGATTACTGATGCTTCTATCTTTTTCAACGTGATCCTGTTACTATCTGTAAAGGTAGAATGAATGGAGCCCCAGTCTTGATTGGAGTTTAACATCAGTGGTCCTTGCTGTTATGTATTTGCCTGTTTGTATTCTTTATGTACCTGATATACCTCCGAGTGATACAAAGATGACATTCGTTCTAAACTCAACAGGTTTGTTTACAGTACACTAAAACATCTCAACAATCACAGGATTTCTATCGACACATTATCAGCTCCAGCATCTCAGGAAGCTACTGTTTATGTTAGAGCTCAGAAGCTTCACCCAGACTTAATCAACCGAGCACAGTGAACATAGCCCAGACAGCAGACTAACATTATCAAACACAGATCAATCAAACTGTTGAAAACTATACTTAATCATGTAAATCTGACCACTTTTCACCTTTGCTGATCAGCATGATACTTCTACAGTAACATAATGTAGGGTTAGCAAGCCTCCCTGAATGGCCTACAGTCTCTGCGAACTGTCAATTAATCTCCAGAATAGTGCTACAAGTAAACCCAGGAGGAAAGTCACAGGGATCGAGAGGCTAAATTATGCGTTTCCCTCATTTTCTTCAAACACATCTTGTTAATAATGATGAAACTAGTGGAACTGAGAGTAAAGGCTGTTTGATGAAATCAAGAATAAATCAATTGAGTGATGAAGTGTCTGTTGGTGTTTCAACAAAATGTAGGAGGCATTATATAGCGACATTGCATGTGTCAGGTCACCAATGGCAGGAACTTGGGTGTGGGAGAGATTTGGTTTTGGGGATAGGACAGTTGAAGGCAAGAGATCAAGAAGCCTCCAAAATAAAATTAAACCAAAGTTGTCAACCCAAGCAGAGTATTAACCTTTTATCTGAACTTGCATCCACTGATTACCTAGATAAAAGAAGAGAGGTAGCAGCTTCTGTTTTAAATTGTGTTTGTGGCCTTCTTAACATAGAGTCATGCAGCACGGAAACAGGCCATTTGGTCCAACCAGTCCATGCTGACCACAGTCTCAACTTAAATTAGTCCCATCTGTCTGTGCTTGGCCCATATCCCTCTGAGTATTTCTTATTCATGTACTTATCCAAATGTCTTTTAAATGTTGTAACTGCAACCACATCCAACACTTCCTCTGGAAGTTCATTCTATACATGAACCACTCTCTGAGTAAAAATATTACCCTTCATGTCCTTTTTAAATCTTTCTCCTCTCACCTTAAAAATATGCCCCCTAGTCTTGAAATCCCCAACCCAAGGGAAAAGACAACTGCCATTCACCTTATCTATATCCCTCAAGATTTTAAAACCTCTATAAGGTCATACCGCAATGTCTTACATCCAGTGAAAAAAGTCACAGCCTATCCAAGTCTCTCCCTATAACTCAAACCCTCCATTTCCAGTAACATCCTGGAAAATCTTTTCTGAACCCTCTTCAGCTTGATTGTATCCTTCTTATAACTGGGTGACCAGGATTGGACACCGTATTTCTGAAGAGGCCGCACCAATGTCCTGTACAACTTCAACATGATGTTGCAACTACTTTACTTAAAGGTCTGAGCAATGAATGCAAGTGTTCTAAACACCTTCTTAACCACCCTGTCTACATGTGATGCAAACTTACAGTAACCTGTTTTGAAGATGGGTCACTGGACCAAAAACATTTGCTTTCTCTCCACAGACGCTACCAGACCTGCTGAGCTTCTCCAGCAATTTCGGTTTTTGATTCAAGTGCCTGTTCGCCGCCTTTTAATAGAATGACAAAGACAATTAGCCATTTAGGAGCCTGGAAGATTAAGTCGGTAGATATAATGCCAATGCAATATCTTGCGGACCCCACTCCCACTAGCCCTGATATTAGCATCCTGAAGTTCATCCAGCCCCCAGTCTCAGACCACAGTTCAAACAGTACTGTTTTCCCACCTCCCACCCCCCGCCCACCTCTTCCATCTTCCCAATACTTTTCTTATATTTGCTCACAGGATGTGGACGTCATTGGCTAGGTCAACTTTCTTGCCCATCCCTAATTGCTCTGGAGAAAACAATGCTGAGCTGCCTTCTTGAGCTACCACAGTGAGGACAGGTAGGCACTCTTACACTGTTGTAAGGGAGGGAGGGAGTTCCTAAATTTTTAACTCAGTGATAGCAAAGGAATGGCAATATCGCTCAAAAGTCAAGATGTGTGTTTTGGAAGAGAACTTGAAGGAAATAAAGATTTGCATTTATATAGCACCATTCACAACCTTGAGCTTCCTACTGAAATAAAGAAGAGTCTAAATGGACTTAGAAACATTCACTCTGGCTTCTGTTTCCACAGATGCTGCCAGACCTGCTGAATTTCTTCAGCCTTCTGTGTTTGTTTCAGATTTTCAACATCAGCAGTATTTTGCTTTCAGACTCCTGATTTTAATCATTGCTCCCTGTGCAAAGAAAATGTTATTTGGAGTTGAACAAGTTTGCTGTGCTGTGGGTGAGGGAAAAATGCTTAATCGGTTCAGACCTGATTTGGCATCAAAAAGTTAGATTTGGGCTGAACCAAACTGGAAAAGCTCAGCTTGCAGGTATAAATCTGACTGCATTAGTGAACAGTGGTGCGCTCTATAAGCAGGCTTTGTGCGTACTCTTGTATTCAGTCGCTGTTTTGCCTGTAAGTCTTAACAGGACTGGAATATTTACTTCCTTTCTCCTGTCCTGAACTAAATCTCACGACTTCAGATATGAAAGGCACTGAAGCTGGTGACTTAAGCGACATTGTCTGTGCGTCCTCATTACTAAGAACCAAAGTGTCCCAGTGGATCATAGGGCTAGGTTCTCCTAGTCAGTTGTTGCTATGAAGGAAATGTTCCTGGGATAGGCTGTGAGAAGCGAGCATGATTTGTTGATAAATGAGATTTTGTTTTTTTTAATGCGCATTAATTAGGAGTTGACAAAATTGCTTTTATTAAGCAAGAGCCTCAATCTCTGCTGATGTTTTAAATAACTTAGAATATTTCTTCTTGATTTTTGCATAAAATATTGAGAAATCATATATTCAAGGGAAATGGTTATTTTAAACAGCTGGAATGTCAAAATTGTTATTTTTTTTAGCAAAGGTAGTTTTGTTTTACAATCTTCTTTTAAACAAAAAAAAGCCTTTTTTTAAAAGAATGCTTGGTTAATGCTAGTATGATTTTCTAAAGGGGGAGACTTTCCTTTTCCCTTTCTCTGGTGCCCAAGCTTTGAATGAAAGATGAGAGAGTTATGCTACTGTGGCATGAGAATATGGGCTGTGTTTTGTATTGTGGCCTGATCTCTATCCTGTCTAGTGAAGGGGACAGACAAGGCTGGACACTGAGACAAAAAAAGGAGACCCATTTAGTCTTTTCATTGTAGTCTGGGTTCCTTGCTGGGGGTGGGGTAGGGAGGGGGTTATTTTACACAGGCCTCTGTTTGGGCTGACAGGGGTGAGGGTTTCACTGAAAGCCAGGCAGCAGATGTCAGGCCTTCAAATTCTTCACAACCACTGACCTTCTTGGGTCAGGTCTATACAACTTGCCTATATAGCCTCAAGCTGTGTGCGACAGAAAGCAATGGAAAGAGGTTCCCTGGGCAGGCTGGTCTAAGCAACCAACTATCTGCAGTTTCTCTAGATTAAATTCCCTGTGAAACACTACAGGTCTGAGAAAATTCCTGACAACTAAATTGGCCTTTTTTTATTGGAAGGAAGTGATGAATAATAAGCAGTGTGGAATGACTGAGAGTTAATTTGTGCTGGTCAGTTATTCATGGCATTACATCAGTGCCGGAGTTCACAGTGAAGATTTCATTGAACAGCATCAACATGAAGTGATCCCACACACTAAATGATTTATTTCTAATCTCTATTCTTGAGGCTAATGATTAACTCTTTGAGCACTGTCTTTTTTGTAATTTTAGTGCTTATTTCTTTTGTTATTTGTGCAACATATCAGCATGTTTGTAAAAATAACTCATTGGTGGTATGTTTTAATAAAATACACTGCATATCTAAGAGAAAACTGATTTCAATAATAACGTTAAAATGCCAATGTTTTAATTCCCAGTTCCTTTTCATGCAGGTTTCTCCCTACATTGTGTCCTTGTCCTTTTGGTTAATCTGAGAGGCTGAAGATTTACAAACGGTAGGCAATGATGACCTGTTTTCCACTTGACTGGAATATTAATTTGAAAAGAACAGTGGAGTACATAATTTTTTTTCTGAAGACAAACACTCCCCCGTCACCAATCCGGTCCCCCACACCCACACCCACACCCCACTGCCAAAGGTGACAACTCCTTGCTCTTCAACCAAATAACATCATGGGATTTTATTTTCTCATCCAACTGTGCAAGTGGATTCTGCCTGAGTTTAACATCTCATCAGAAAGATGGCAGCTCTGACAGTGCGGCATACTCTCAGTAATGTGCTGGAGTATCAGCCTTGATTTTTGTGCTCAAGCTTTAGAGATTTGGACCTTGAACCACATAGGTTAGAGCGGAGTGCACTACCATCTGATCCACAGCTACCAAAACCATCTGAGGGCTGGGGAACTCTGGCATTTCTGACTTGCTTTTCCACTTGAGTTAGCTGATATTTATGATTGAACAGTATTCCTCATTATTCTCTCCCACCGCAACCCCCCACCCGCCCAACAAACCCTTTCTCTTTGGTCACACAGCAAAGCTCTTTGAACTTATTCCTCCTCCTCTTTGCTGATGTGTCAGATCTCTCGTCTCCTCAAGTGCTGCAGCCAAGATTGGGAATGTGTCATGCTGCAGTGAGACTATGGGTTATCACCATTTAATTTTTCTTTACAATAGTATGAGAGAGCTGCTCATTTTGGATTCCGATTGTCCATCCAGTTACCTTATGGATGTGGACATAGCTTTTCCATTTGGCTCTGTGTTGTTTGACATCGCTTCCAGTGTAGCATCCAAAGATGCCCTTGCAATCCTCTCTAGAAGTCATCAAAGGCCATATTTGTGTGGCTGTATTCAAATGAAATGCTAATTTGGGGAGTATCTTATCTGATATAATAGTTAATATCTTAATTCTAAATCCCTAGCAAAACTAATCAGCCATTTGGTTCTTGGTGACTGGCTCAGAGAATCAGAAGGAATCTAACTGATTTTGGCCTAAAAATAGGTGAAGCCTATAGATGAACTCTGAGGCTCAGTCAACATTAGGCCTTGGGCCTTATTTTACAAAGAGAAGTGAGCTGCCCTCATCTGGCATACCTCCCCAGAGGCAGCTTGCCTGATTGCCTCATCAAATATAGGTTGATGTCTTGCCCTTCGCTAAGTCCAAGGGTAGCATTTAGGGGTAATTAAAACAAGATGGAGGTAATTAAGGGCACAAAACAGACCTTGCAAGTTCTTGGAGCACGTCCAAGCTACACACGTTCAAATATCCCCACAACCACTTATTGCTTACCTGAAAATCAACTGACATCAGTACGAAGTTGGACTTATTTTGTTTGGGCATCAATATTTATTTGTGATTTACTGTCGTCACATGTGCCTAAGTACAGTGAAAAGCTTTGTTTTGCGAACAGTATAGGCAGATCATAGCAAGCGAGGACATACAGATCATAGGATGCTTAGACAGAGGGAGGTATACAAGGTTACAGCTGCACAGGAGGTACGCTAATCAAGATCAACATTATTTGAAGTTAGAGAGGTCCATTCAGCAGAGATTGTTTTTGAACCTGTTAGTGTGTGTGTGTGTTGAAGCTTCTGTATCTTCTGCCTAATGCAAGAGGTTGGAAGAGAGCACTACCGGGGTGGGAAGAGTCTTTGATGATGTTGGCAGTCTTTCTGCAGCAGTGAGAAGTATAAATGGAGTCCATGGATGGGAGGTTGGCTTCTGTGATGGTCTGGGCTGTGCCCACAACTTTCTATAATTTTTTACAGTGTTAGGCAGAGCAGTTGCTGTACCAGGTCATTATGCAGCTGGATAGAATGCTTTCTATGGTGCATCTGTGAAAGTTTGGTGAGGCTCCTTATGGACATGTTGAACTTCCTAAGCCACTGAAGAAGAAGAAGAGGCGTTATTGTGCCTTCTGGCCATCACATCTAACCATCCAGTCCTACAAAACTGACTGATTTTTGTCCTTTTTTTTCATCGAGAGAATGTGGGTAATGAGGACCAGTGCCTAACTCTTATAATCATTCACCTTCAAGTGATTATAATCATGGCTGCCTTTAGCACTGTGGATATTCGACCAGGAATGTGCTGCCCTCCTGCCATGGTCTCAGAGCTCCAACAAACTAAGAGAATGACCTCCTTTTTGTTTTGAGGCAACACGATATTTTTGGAGAGTGGATGATTCATCTATTTAAATTCGTGTTCAGAACATTATGAAATACAAAACGAAGTGTGGGTAAGCATTGTAGATGCTGCTTTCAAAGATCTTGTAATTTAATTAGATCCCATAGTAAGTAACATGTGTGTGACAAAAGTAATGTTATACAGATGCTTGTAAAAACCACTGTATATTTTGTGATGTACTTGTAGAACTATAAGCTGGAGCCATTAATATTTTAAGCATGGAATTGGGTCACGTGCTTTCACTGGTGGGACCATATGGCAGCTTTACTCATGTTTGGCTGGATCAGGAAGGATCGACTGGCCAGCATTATGTGAAACAACTGCTCAATGGAAAGTTATGTTGGGCCCTTTCAATGGGTTTGGCTATAGGCCCAAACAAATGGAACAAAGTTCCTGTTAGCTTTCAAAGCTGGTTCATTCTTATCATCTTGTGGTTACTGTAAATGCATGTGGTAGTGGGAGTGAGAGGAAGGGGGAGATTTCTGACTTGTGAAAGATCCTGAAGAAGGTTCCAGCCTAACTATTACTTCCAGGGCAATCTGAATCTTATTTGTTGTGACTGAGCTTGTCCCACAGATGTTTCACGCATACTTGTCATTGTGCTGCCTAGCAAGAACAAAAATATTAGCTTACATGTTGTCTAGAAGGACATGTTTTCACTTGGGGTACAGATGGGTATTTGTATTGATGTATTGAAAGCACTGACCATGATTGTACCTAGCATGACAAGTTGCCATGTGGGTTGCTGAGCTTCATGACTTTAGCGGGCACTGCGCTATTTGACTGTAGGAGCTGCCCATTTGCTACTCAACACACTGTACACCCTTAAGCAATTCCCCTGAGATTTGCCTGCAACACACTGAATATCTTGTCCTCAGTGCAGTGCTGCTGCCCTCTTGCTCTTACAACCATTGAAGATATTAAATTTCCTCTCAAGGATGGTCAATCTCCAGTGCCTAGCTATTATTGCCTCATTGGTATATATCAGGTAACTTCAGATACAGCCACATTCAGAGTTATTAATGAAACGTGAACGCCATTTAGCCCAAGTAATTTATATAGATATTGATGGCCCATTCAAGTCTCCTCTCACCTGACTCCTCATTTAAATTTGTAGCTGTGTTCTTGAAACTTGCTACTTTAAGTGAAGGGGGGTAACAAGGTATAAAGCTGGATGAACACAGCAGGCCAAGCAGCATCAGAGGAGCAGGAAGGCTGACGTTTCGGACCTAGATCCTTCTTCAGAAAACGTGAATCATAGTTTCCCATAGGAACCAAAGTTAAAGCCAGAGTTAGGTTCCTTTGGACATTACTCACCTGGAAAAACAATACGCAAATTGAAATACTGCTAGGTGCATGTAATACCTTCTTGGTTGAAATAAGTTGGTAAATATTGAACAAATGCCACATTAGTTGAAAGGAAAACACTGCAATTTTCATGGTGGGCTTAAAAATAGACATTCTGGCAACTCGGTGGACAGCTTTTCTACCAATACAAAGTGGGTGGTATCTATTACACCATAAATTGGAAATCACAGCTCAACAATAAAAGGGACAAATAATATTACAGCTGCACTTCAATAGTGAAAATGAGATGGAGGAGCTAAATGTGAAAGAATCAGACCAGCCATGATCTCACTAAATAATGGAACGGGCTTGATGGGCTGAGTACCCTGCTCTTGCATCTTGTTCATATGTTTATGAATGGTATTTTTGATTAATTGGTTGTGTTGTGCTGTTTTGGTCCCTTACCCTGGGGAAAATATTTTCTGGTTTGCTTTTTACCTGAATGTTACCAGAAACTTGCGGGTGGGAAAGCGAATAGGCTCCGGATTGCTGCAGTGAGAGGAGAGGAGAGGAGAGGGGAACATTGATGCAGAACCCTGGAGCCAGGCCCTGAAACTGAGAGACCATAGCAAAGGTGCCAAGTGCCCACACTGCCCAAAGTTGCCAACATGCTGCCCCCCACCCGGCTTCACCTGCTCCACCGATTATATCTTCCATCCTTGTCCCTCTATCACTTTTTTTTACCTGCTCTTGGTCCTGAGGGTGAGTGGCTAGAAAGAAAATCACAAAGAGTAACGTGCTTCCACCAGCATGTTATGCTTCAAGTGTCCCAAGTTAAGGTGGAGTCTGAGAGGCTCTGCAAACACGATATGATGCGGTGAAAATATCACGAATATCTAAAAGATATATTGACATACTAATTGTGAGATTTAACACATCTCTCAGTGGAAACACCATCGCAGATGTTTGGCCTGCATCCACAGAAATGTGGTGAAATTGGGTGGAAGTCTCAAGGTCGTGTTGCTGAAAAGTAGCTGTGACTAGATTGTGTCCCTCCTTTTGAGCGACAGCACTGTTAGAGCTGTAGAAGCACTCAAGCCCTCATCTTGTTTGTGTCAGATCACTGGAACTGATTCAGGTAAGACTGCTGGAAATGATATGCAAATTATATGTCATTTGAAATGTTGTAACCATTGGTAACTGCTTCATCCCACATATGTCAAGCATCTTTCTGAGTTTCAGCCCAGAAAGTAAATCTTTATCCTATAGGACTGTCTTTTGTCTGTCTTTCTTGTACAGGAAATGACAAGAAAACAGCGAGCAAAGATTGAGGCATTTCTTTTTATTTTCAACCAAATTTTTGACTGAGGTACTATTGGGTGCAGGAAGTCTTCCAAAATCACTTTTACAGGGTAAATGTTGATGAACAATTTCTGGCTTGCAAACTTCAAGAGCCCTGGTAAGAATCTAATTCTTCAAAAGAGTATGTTATTATGCAGAACATAAAACTTGCATTCCATCATTGTTTTGAAAGTATAACGTGACAGCTTTGCCACATTAACAGTTATTCATTCAACCAGCAGCACCAAGGGAGAGAGTTTACAAATAAAGATGGAGATGGGGAGAACTGATTTTCACTCTGAAGTTTGCAAGTCTGTGGAAAGTTCATCCCCAGAGAGTTGAGGAGGCAAAGTCATTGAGTGCTTTTCAGGCGAAACTGGGTAGGTTCCTGACTAACAATGGAGTCGCAGGTTATCACGGGCAGATGACAACGTAAACCTGAGGCCACAAACAGATCAGCTTTTTTAATACTGGAACAGGCTGAAGGGGCTGAATGGCCTGCTTCTGCTACCAATTTTCCCCTTCACCATTCCCGGAAATGTCCTGTCCCAATGGCAGGACAGACCCACAAGAGGTGGCGCTACAGTGATATACAGTTGGGAGGGAGTTGCCATGGGTGTTGTCAACAATGACTCCAGACCCGTTAAAAATCTTGTGGCATCAGATCAAACATAGCATAGAAACGTCCTGCTGATCACCACCTATCCCCACGCCAGCTGATGAATCATTGTTCCTCCATGTTGAAGCAGTGAAGATAGCAGGGACGCAGAATATACTGCGTTTGGGAGACTTCAATGTTCACCACCAAGAGTAGCTCGGTAGCAGCATTAATGACAAGGCTAGATGAGTCCTGGAGGATGTAGCTGTGATATTGGGTCCACAGCAGGTGGTGACAGACCAACAAGAGGGAAACACTTATTTGACCATGTCATCCACAATCTGTCTGCTGCAGATGCATCTGCCGGTGACAGTAGTGGTAGAAGTGACCGCTGTACAGTTATTGTGAAGGTGGGACTTTTCACACCAATGACGATTATAATTGTGCTGGAAGGGATAGACTTTGAATATGTCGAGCAACTCAAGATTCAGCGTTCCCTGAGGTGCTGTGGACCACTGACAGCAGCAGAATTGCATTCAGTTACAATCTGTAAACTCATAGCTTGGCATGTCCCCCACTTTACCACTAAGCCAGGGGATTAGTACTGGTTAAATGGAGAGTGCAGCAGGGTATGCCAGGGGCAGCACTGGGCATGACTAAAAATGAGGTGTCAACCTAGTGAAGCTACAAAAAAAAACTACTTGCATGTCAGACAATGGAAGCAGAATTCAATAAACAGGCTAAACAATTTCATATCCATCAGATCAGATCTAAGCTCTGCAGCCTTGCCACATCCAGTCATGAATAGTGGTGGGTAATTAAATAACTAATGCAAGGTGAAGGCTCCATAAATATCCCAATCCTCAGCAACGTGGAGTTCAGAATGACAGTACAAAAGACAAGGCTGAAGTACTTGCATCTGTTTCAGTCAGAAGTGCCAAGTGGATATTCCAACTTCGCTGTCTCCTGTGGTCCCCAGCATCACAGATGCCAGTCCTCAGTCAACCAGATTTACTCCAAGTGATATCAAGAAACTTTTGGAAGCACTGGATACTGCAAAGGCTATAGGCCTTGACAACATTCCACAATCATACCTGAAAACTTGTGCACTGGAACATACTGCACCTCCAACCAAGGTTTCCCAGTGCAACTACAACAGTGGCATCTACCGAGCATGAGAATAATTTTCTAGGTGTACCTGTACGCAAAACAAAGTTTGGACCAGTTGGCTTTGCCCTATTGGTCCACTGTTAATGATCAGCAAGTAGTGTCAGAGGTTGTTGACAGTACTTTCAAGTGGCACTTGAAGACAAATAACCTATTCACTGACGTTCACTTTGCGTTCTTCCAGTACCACTATGTTTCCTACCTCTTTACAGCTTTCATCCAAACATGGACAAAAGAGCTGAACCTCAGATGTCAGGTGACAGGGAGCATATGACATATATGGCGTCAAGGAGCCAGAGCAAAACAGGAGTCAATGGGGCAAAATGGTGGCTCAGTGGTTAGCATTGCTGCCTCACAGCACCAGGAACCCAGGTTTGATTCCACCCTCGGGTGACTGTTTGCATGAAGTTTGTGCATTCTCTCTATGTCTGCATGGGTTTCCTCTGGGTGCTCTGGTTTCCTCCCACAGTCCAAAGATGTGCAAGTTAGATGGATTGGCCATGGGAAATGCAGGGTTACAGGGAAAGGCTAGGGCAGTGGGTACAGGAGGGATGTTCTTTGGAGGTTTGGTGTGGACTTGATGGGCTGAATGGCCTGCTTCCACACTGCAGCGATTCTATAAAAGAACCGGAGAGAAAACTCTATTGGTTGAGGTCATACCTAGTAAAATGGAAGATGGTTGTGATTGTCAGATGTTAATTACCTCAGTTCAAGGATACCTCTGCTGGAGTTTCTTTTGGACAGGATCTTAGTCCCAACCATCTTCAGCTGCTTCATCAATGCCCTACCTTCCACCATAGGGTCAGAAAAGAGGATGTTCTCTGATGATTGCACAAAACACAGCACCATTCGCATCTCCTGAAGTATTGTAATAGCCCATGTCAACATCCAGGTTGCTCATTACTGGCAAATGACATTTGAGTCACACCTGCCCATCTGCAAGAGAGAATCTAACCATATCTCCTTGAAGACAATGGCATTAACGTTACTAAATATTTCGCTATCTTTCATCCAAAAATGAACTCGTCCAGTCATACAAATACAACAGCAGATCACAGGAGGCTAGGAATCCTACAACAGGTAACTCACCTCCTATCTCCCTAAAGCCTATCCACCATGTATAAGGCACAAGTCAGGAATGTGATGGAGTACTCCCTATATACCAGGTTGAGCACCACTCTAACCTCACTGAGACTTGCTACCACCCAGAAAAAAGCATCCTGCTTGATTGGAACCCCATCCACCAACTTAATTGTTCAATATATTTACCACTATTGCACAGTGTCAGCAGTGTGCACCACCCACAAGACTCTCTGCAGTAACTCACCAAGCTAATTGTGACTGCACCTTCTGAATCTATGACTGCTATCACCCAGAAGGACAAGGGCAGCAGATGAATGGGAACTCCAGTGCCTACAAGTTCCCATCCAAGTTACACATCGTTGCTGACATTGGACTGTATCACTGCCCTTTCACTGTCACTTGGTCAAAATCCTAGAACTCCCTCCCTAACAACAATGTCTCTTCATCCCCAGGACTGTAGCTGTTCATGAAGGCTGCTTACCAACACCAACTCCAGGGCATTTGATGTTGGCCCATGCATCAATCCTATGAACAAATAAAATTAAACTTACATGATTGTACCACTGGCACTCTCCTTATTTTGTTAGGTGCTGCGGTGGACCAGTCCCTTGATAATGTTTGAGAAGACTCTAAAAATCTACCCTTTAACTGCTCAAAATGACTGACCAGCTCAACAGGGAACTGATACCAATGGAACTGTCCTTGAGGAGGAGAGAGGATAAAATAAGTGATCAAAGGACAAGACATGGTCTACATGTTCCAGAGAACACCATTGTTATTTCAGCATTGTGTTTAAAAAATAATTTGATGACCTAATTGTGAAGATAAGTCAAAATTAGCAACTTAACTAATTTTCTCCTCTTCTCCATTCAGATCCATATGAAGTCTAGCAAACCATCTCTACAACCGTCAACAGTCTGGTCTTTCCCTTGCTGAAAGCTTCAATTGAAAGCAGGACTAAGGGCAAGGTGTCTTTCTCAAGAGCCAAGGAGAATCAGGGCAGCGATCTTAGAACCAGGACAAAGGGCAATATTGGAAAAGAATGGGCTTCATGCTCTTGAACTGAGAGTGACATATTGGGCGTCAGGCGGTGGGAGAAGATAAATTGGCTACAATTATGGAATGGTAGAATATTTTTGGATAAGCAAGTTTAGAAAAATATCCAACTGTGACACAGAAATGCTAACGTTAATCAGCATTTTGAACAGACTTAAGGAAAGGATCTGTATTATGGAATGTTTCCATAATCACTGCAGTGTTGAATCTTTTCGAAGTAAATGAGCCTAAAAATCAAAACAGACCATGATTTGTCCATCACCGTTTTGAATGTTAATGAGCTTGACTGTTTTGTCAGCAGCTACGCTGTCATGTTTTATGAATGCCAGATATTCCTGCCACTTGTGTGATCTAAAATTATAGCATTATCCTTTGGAAACTGGGATGGAAGGAAGGATTTTTAATACAATTTCCTCTGCATAGATCCAAAGCAGAGAGAAATGGTAAGTAGCTTGATTCAGGGCTGTAAAAGGAACTACCTTGGCTTGTATTTGGATTGCACATAACAATCTTCCCCAGATTGGTCTAAGTTTCCCCACTACAAAGGACATCAGAGAACAGACTGGGTTTTTAATAATCATTAGACTGATTCAGGGTTTTCTTTTTCAGTTTCAGATTGTTACTTAGAACCAAATTCAACTTCGCACAGTGCTTTGGAATTTTACCTCACGTGTTCAGAATAATGTGTGCAACGCTTTGGTCCAGTATGCTTCTGTGCTCTAATAAGATGCATACAGCAGACAGAATGGAACATTCAATTGAGGGGAAATCAGTAGGGTGACAATCAAAGACCAGAAGGCAAAGGAGTAAAGGGAAGTGCCTATAGGACTGGAAGAATGTTATGAGTTGTTTCAAAAAGGGAATTATAATTTCTTTTATTCTTGAATGAAATGAGGGTGCCACTGGCGAAGCTAGTATTTGTTGATCTTTCCTAGTTGCCCTTGAACTGATTAGCTTGCTAGACCATTACAGAGGGCAGTTAAGAGTCAACCACATTGCTGTATATCTGGAATCACATATAGTAAGTAGTAAGTACAGTGGTTAGGTTAGACAAGCAGATTTCCGTTCCTAAAGGATATCAGTGACTCACAGTGGTTTTTATAATGGTTACTTAGGACTGAATCTTAGGGTTTCTTTTCTCTTAGTGCAAATTGCATTTGGGTTTTTTTTTGGGGAAATTATCACTGGGAGGCCCAGTGAGATTTCTCGCCATATCTTATAAAAAACCCTTCATTAACTACCTACCCTGCCTCAGTGGTATCCCTCATGTCCTATTCTGGCCCTGCCTTAACAAAGTAAAATTGCCACAGTCTTACAAAACCATAAAACTGCTGTCTGATTGGAGAGAGGGATGACTGGTGGTGCTTTAACCTAAGGGTTACCATGCCTCAGGTGAGGGAAGAAGTTGAGGAGGAGAGTCCGTCATGGTAACTTCAGCTGGTGGGGGAATCAAATTTTTGCTGTTGGCATCACTCTGCTAAGCAACCCACCAACTTAACAACTCACCAACTCACAAATATTTGACCAAAGACCAGGATTCCTTGTGCCCAAGCCATCCTGAAAAGTCCACTGTGTACCAGGATGAAAACTGTCAGTCCAGAACCACCCTCAAAGGCTGGTACTATTTGCCCCGGACATGGAAGATGGAGGGGAAATTGTTGGCCCACTTTGAGATCTTGGGGATCCTGCTGGATGGGGTGGTACAGACGTCAGACTAGTGCTTTCCCCAGGACCAGCTATGGAGGCCTGTGCACTGCCTACCCACTCACTCAGGACAACTCCCCATGTACACCAAAAGTAATAGCTGTCCCACCACTTTCATCACCCGTAATACGAGCTTCTCTGATCCTAGGAGGAATACAGTCCTATTATGTCAGAAAGAGTCAAGACGGTTGGTAGGCTGCCTAACATTTGACTCATCACCTCTTGTGTGGAGACCATTCTGCCTCTGACTATCCCCTAATGCTGAGTGTATCCAAGCCCATGGACTGGTATTGGAGGTTGCTCTTGACTTAACGTGCTGGGACCCACAGTGGGAAGGCTACCCAATTTGAGTTGACCGAGACCTGCTGATGACCATGACAAGGTTCCTGCCTATGCATCTTTACTAAACAATAAGACAGGATAAGACAGATGTAATATGAGCCTGGTATCTCTAGATGAAGGGAAAAGCATGCAAAGGTAGGACAAAGTATGGATGCTGTGAACATCCAGGTAGGCTGAGAGTGAATGAGTGCTATATCAACAAGTGAAGAGCCCTGGGATACAGCCTGGTCCAGTCCCTGTGTCTCTGAGTGCTCAGTGTCTTTACTGCAGCATTACAATGAGTGCTGCTAGTGTAGCCCAAGGTGCAGCATTGAAGAGGAGGAACATCCTGTAAGACGTTCAGAGATGTCTTGTGAGAATCTTTAGAGACTGGCATATGTCAGTGGACGTGGAATGCATGTGGCCAGTGCCAGGTGTATCCTGAAATGTTGGCACCTAGTTTCCAATATGGAGGTCTTTTGGAACAAGTGGTGAGCTGAAGTTGCCAGGTATCTGCTTCGGTTTCCATCTCAAGGTTTCTCACATTTAGCTTGTTTGGTACATTTGGTAAGATAGGATGCTGAATATTAATGAGGTGAGTTGTGGCATTAATAAGACATTTAACAAGCTCATGACATTGAGATAGACTTCTTTAAATATTAGAGGCCTTAGATGTGGAGAGGTTGTTTACCCTGTGCAAAGTTCCAGGGCCAGAGGACAATAATCAGAGTAAGGGGTTGTCGATTTAAGACAGAGGTGAGGAAAAACATTTTTCTGTTAGGAGGTAATGAATCTGTGGAATTCTTTACCACAGAGAGCTGTAGAGGCTTGGCTGTTCAACATGTTCAAGGTTGAGATACACTTTTTTTAAAAAAAGTACTAAAAGAATCAAGGGTTAAGGGAAAAAGGTAGGAGAGGGGTTGAGGCTTTTCAGATCAGTTGTGATCCCATTAAATGATGGGAAAACTCAATGGGCTTTATGGCATAATTCTGCTTCGACATGTTATAGTCTTAATCACATTAGATGGTTCATGCAGAAAAACAAGAGGAAAGTCATATGGCCTTTCTTTGCATGGTAACATCCTATAATGTACTAAAGCAATGTCTACTTGAGGATGAGCATCACTTTGGAGTGATTGTCTCATTTTAATATTGCTAGCAGATTGTCTAACTCATAAGAAAATTGTGGCAATGGCATCCAGGAGCGAGTGGCTGAGGCCAACAAGAGAGGAAACAGAAATGAAGGGGCAAGGTGGGTCTGACAAGGGGGAAAAGTACTGAATGAAGGGGTGACAGTAGGAGACCAGGGGCAAGAACAGTAGCTGTTGATTGGTTAGCTGCCAATGTAACTCATGGGGGATAGCTTATCACTTGCCACTGCACATCCCCAGACATCCCACATCTCACCTGAACCTCTTTTTGAACTTTGGGAAGAATGCAAAACACCTGGGGAAACCCACACAGATTCAGCGAGAATGCGCAAACTCCACAAAGAGAGTGACCCAGGTCCCTGGCACTGTGAGGCAGCATTGCGAAACATTAAGCCACCATCTTTTCTTTTGTGTGATATTGTGTAATTTGAATTGCTTCAGTGCTGGTGGCGTGCCTTCAGCTGCCTAGGCCTTTCCTCTTTAAGGATGTTCCTTAAAACCAAAAACAAAACTCACTACTGAAAAATACTGAGAGACAAAATGTGTTTTGTGAACTGGAAAGCTGTTCATTTGGAAGCTGGAGGAGAGGGAATGGGAGGGAATGTTTTGCAAGTAAAACATTACAGAAATGTCCACGCATGCAGGCACTTTCAGTTGGGTCCAACAAATAGCCTCATGTGGTTCGGTGCTACTTTAGTTCTTAGTTTCCTATTTGAATCTGCTTTTCTGATAGACTCACTGAAAGCGAGACAGTATGCAGGTAAACAGTTTAATGAGTGATGGTGTGAAGTATTGGAGCCATAAAAAATGTTAGGATAATTCTGGAAGAACAAGCAAAATGTTCGGCTATTTTGTTCAGTGTGTACAGGGGTAGTTTCAGATGCGTGCACTGACTGTAAAGCAAGTGGATCCATCTTATAGCCTGTTCTGAGTGTACAATGATGGAATTGTCTATTTTTTTCTTATTTACAAATGGACCATGAGAGCAAATATAAATTAAAATGCAGGGGCAAAAAATATTCAATTGGATTATCATTGACAAGCATTTGCTTGCCCTAGCTCTTCTTGCAAAACAATTTATTCCAGCAGTGATGAGAGGAGCCCCTGTGCCAGCAGTCAGTACACCGATAATTCTGTCAACTTTGCCGGGTGGCTGTCAGTCAAACGTAGAGCTTGCTGTGGTTTGTGGTGCAGCCTGCATTAGCTCCATGCTGAGATAATCCCTTTCTATCTCCTAGCCACCGAGAGGGCTTGCCACTACATTGCCATACTTTATGCTGTTAATTGAGTCGTTTTAGTTTAAATGTACTCTTCTTCACTGTTCTGTTCAAAACACTTCTATTATAATTATTTGCTGGAGTTGTTTTTCTTCTCTTTTGCAACTCGATGCAGAAAGTGTCGAGCCTTTATTTTACACAGATAATGAACCGTACAGTGTTTTGATCACTGCGGTTTCCTGTTTGCAACTGTGGTCGCTATGCAGCCTGTTCTTTAACTCCGCTTAATAAAGAAAGAAAAAGAAATATAATTTTCTGTAGAATGGTGAAACTGGTCACAGAGTGGAATTCAACAGTGCACTGTTGTTTAAATCTTGCAACTTCGAAGATCATGGACCTGTTCTATCTCTCAATTGGCACGTACTCTGCATTCTTTATTAATTTACTTCCCCCTCATCTTTTCCTTCATCAGGGCTCCTCCATCCACATCACATTCTTCAGTTTACAGCTGAGAACCTAGAGTTTGCCCTTCACTGTTCACTGCATTGCTGATAATCATTGTGATTGGCTGGCAAAAAGCAGACTCTTAACACCTCAAGATGGGCAAGTGATTCTTCCACCTTCCTTTCTTCTTTAGTTAGCACTAGAATAGTTCACACTACTGAGACTGGCTTCCAATTAAATTGAAATCCCGCAAGCTGCCATGGCAGGACTCGATCCCAAGTCCTCAAAGGATTAGCTGGGGGCTTCGGAATTACTGGGACATTGCTTCAACATCACTGTTTCCCTTCAAAGCCCACCCTATCCAATACATTATTTTGCAGTGTAAACTTGTATAGATTAGCAC